ATCTTCTGCATACTCTGCTTCCAGGAAAGTATGTGTCCATCCTCACCCAGAATGCACACGGCAGGCATCGTGAGAGATTGCATCTTTAATTCCCCCAGAAACTTCAATGGGGTCTCTCACCTTTAAGTGACAGATTTAGCCTGGTGTTTCTGATGACCTTAAGAAACAGAGAACTGGGGCCGGCCCTGTGGCGCAGTGGTTAAGTGTGCACGCTCCACTTCAGCGGCCCGGGGTTCACAGTTTCGGATCCCGTGCACTGCTTGTCAAGCCATGCTGTGGCGGCGTCCCATATGAAAAAATAGAGGAAGGTGGGCACAGATGATAGCCCAGGGCCAGATCTTCCTCAGCAAAAAAAAAAAAAAAAAACCAGAACTGACAGGAGAGCTGGTTTTAAGGAATTTCTGTACTGTTTACAAGGCCCCAGCCTGGAGCTTTGTGGGGCTGTCCTAATTTCCTCTGGGCTGTGTTGAGTGGAGTTGTATTTGCCACGTCTATTTGGAGCAGAATCTTGTCAGAACACAGAGACCTTGTCCCTGACCGGGGCTGATGCCAGTGAGGAAAAGAGGTGTGTTTGCACTGATCTGCTTTCTGGGAGAAAGGAGAAATCTTCGATTGGCTTGATGTCCTGGGACATATTTGTGTAGGCAGGTGCCCTTCTCTGTCTAGTTTCCCCGGGTCAGGAAAGGGTTCTGGGAAGAAGGGATAGGAAGGAGGCTGCCAAGTGAGGAAGAGGAGGCCGTTCTGGGTTTGGGAATGGACCCAGGCTAAGCTTTTCACCTGGGCTGATTCTGCAGGTGCAGCGGGAGCTGGGAGCTGGTGTGTCCTCTGGGAACGGGAGATGTTCTTTCACCTCTGGGCCGGGCACTGCTGCCCACCCTCCCTGGGATCTGTGTGTGTGTGTATAGCTGGGGGCCTTTCCCCCTCCTAACCCATCCTGCCCCTCTCCCACTGAGAGAGCCATCCCCTTTTGTCCCCTGCTCCCCTCAGTCCCCAGAGCCGGGGTCTGATGGCCCCTGTCCTCTGCTGGCACTTGCGTTGGCTTCGGTGGAGGTTTGTGCCTGAGCAGCCTCACTCTTTCGGGAGTGGTAATTCCATATGTGTGTGAGAGAGAGGACAGACAGGCAGATACGCAGATAGGGAAGCTGAGGGTGGGATACTTAAACCTGGAAATGTGAGTCGGGATTCCTGGGTTGTGTTCTTGTCTCCATGCCCGAAGGATCCTGGGAAAGGCCCTTTGTGGAACCATCTATTATGTGGGGAATATGCATCCCGAGAGGAAGAAGCCGTCCTCATCGTTGTTAATAACTAGTCCCAGGAAATATGAATTCACCCCCAGGGCCTCCCCGGGCCAGGCGATCCAGCCCGGGACTTGGGAGTGTCCAGCTCTTTTCTGCGGGAGCACCTAGGATGGAGAGGCCCTGCCTTCCTCAGGCATTCCCCCACCCCAGCCCCTCAGGAATGTGCCACTTTTATCTTGTACTTTGCTTCTGACTAGGACTGTGGAATTCTAAAGCTGAGAGGGACGTCGGGAGTTGGGTTGGACTGGGGGTGGAAGAAACCTGGGAGTATTATCTCTTTAAAGGAAATGCAAGCCCCCTCATCCTTGCCACTACCTAAACTGGTTTCTCCTGATCTGCTCGTGGTCCTTGTGGATTATGGTAAACTGGCTGGTCTCCAGGGCCTCAGGAGAGGACTGATATTTAAAATGCAGTGGAAAGCACAGCATGGCAACTCCCCCCCAGGTCTGGGGTGAGCCCTGCACTTAATGAGTGCCTGGTGCAGCCCACACTCATGAAATTCAAAGGGCATCTCTGCTCGGAGAGAGTGAGCTTCCCGCTCCAGCCAGTACTGCAGGCCAACGCTTTGCCTCTGCCCGGCCAGCCAACCTCTGGACAACCTCTGGACAGGAGGTGAGACCCGGTGACAGGAGACTGGAGAAGTGAGTCATTCGTCCAGAACTGTGTGGTCCAGGTCCAGAAGTTACCTTTTCATTTTCCGCTGCCCTTAGGCAGGACAACATTTAATCCAGTCCGGACGATTTTATAATCTCCAAGGAAGAAGACAGCTTCAGTCATTAGCAGAACAGTCGAATGAGCATCCAGCAACTGTGATTCTCTATCTTCCCAATCTCAGAATGTCTGAGCCAAAACCTAAGATAGGCTCACCTGATTCTGGCCCCCCATCTTACAGATAAGGAGACTGAGGCCCAGAGACGGCATATGACTTGACTCCTGACTCCTGACTTAGGCTTTTGTTAATTCCAGCCCTGTGTATCACCTTCTGGTTGGTCTTCCTTTGAAGAAAGGGCAAATGGCCCACTCCTCTCCAAAACGGGGCCCAGAGAGTGGTGTGCTGAGGACTGTTATTTATTTGGCCTGCTCTTAATGACAGCTCCTCACCTACCTGCCCCAATCCGAGGAGGAGCCCTGGGCTGGAATTTCCTGTTTTCTGAGGGCTCCTCCGGGGGCTGCCCCAGCAGGCTGGCTCCCCCTCCACCACCGCCGCCGTTCCGGGGTGTTCCAGGCCAGGCTTGCCGCCTCTCCTTGCTGGGCTGGCTCCCGGCCTCTCCAGGTCTGGGCTTGCCGGCTGCTGCGAGGTGGAGGCGTTGAGGGACTCGGTCGGCCGGCCGACACCAGTGCCCGGAGGCCGG